AGGATAACCTTATTCTTAGCTGCATAAATTCTTCTCTTTCTGATGAAGTACTTGCCCAGGTTGCTCACTACAGCTCCTCCGCTGTAGTTTGGAAGGCCCTTAACTCTGCTTTTGCATCCCAGTCCCGTGCTATAACAGTACATGTTTGCACTCAACTCTCTACCCTCCGGAAGGGTAATCAATCTACAACTAATTACTTCATGACTATCAAACGTCTCACGGACGAATTGGCCATTACTGGTCAAGCTCTTACGTGTGCCGAAACTATTCCATATTTGCTTGCTGGGCTCGATCCCGAATATGACTCTCTTGTTTCCATGGTTTCTCACCGAGATAATTCTCTCACATCGGAAGAACTTTATTCAATGCTCCTGACATGTGAAGCTTGCATCGAGCATAATAATCAAATGCTATCCTTGCCCATGGCTTCGGCCAATGTTGCCACCTGACAGCAAAACTTTACAGGAGGACGGGGTCGTGGCACCTTCTCAGCTCCTCGAGGCAGGGGGCGTAATCCATCCTATGGTAATCATGGAGGTGGTCGCGGCAACACTAGTATGTGGTGTCAACTGTGTGAGAAACCTGGGCTATTGGAAGCGCTTTGATCCACATTTCCAAACCCCCCCACTTCACCCAACTCCTCAAGCACACCTTGCCTCCAACCAATCTCAGCAGCACTCGACTGAACAAGAATGGCATCCCGACACTGGTGCGATGCACCATCTGACCAACAACATGAGTAATCTGAATATCCAAAGTGATGATTTTGCTAGCACTAATCAAATTCAAATTGGTGATGGTACAGGTTTGAAAATAACTCATATTGGAACTGCATCTTTATCTAACTCATCTTCGTCTTTTATTCTTGACAAAATTCTTGTTGTACCCCAAATTACCAAAAATCTACTCTCTATTCAAAAATTTGCTCAAGATAATAATGTTTATTTTGAGTTTCACAGTTTTTTTTTTTTCTGCTTAAGGATTACTCGGGGAACGTCCTTCATAAGGGCTCTATGTTTAATGGCCTTTATTGCTTCTCTCCATCTCTTCAACGTTTTTTTTCCATCTGCCTTTGTTGGTGCTCGGATCTCGTTTACAGCATGGCATCATCGTCTTGGTCATGCCTCTTATGGTACTATTCGACATGTGCTTGGCAATAATAATTTACCTGTTGGTCCCAATAAGAGACAAAATATTTGTCCTAAGTGTGCAATAGCTAAAAGCCACAATTTACCTTTTTCTACTTCCCTTTCTTCTGTTTCAAGACCCCTTGAATTAATTTACTCCGATGTCTGGGGGCCCAGCTCAGTTGTTTCTAGTTATGGATCCCGTTATTATGTTTGTTTTTTGGATGCCTTTACTAAATTTCTTTGGATATTTCCTTTAAAACTAAAATCTGACGTTGAAACTATTTTCATTCAATTTTAAAAATATGTTGAAAGGCATTTTGATTTCCAAATTAAGGCCATTCAAACTGATTTTGGGGGGGTGGGTGGTTGAATATGGACGTTTAAATACTTATTTCAAAACCTGTGGAATTCGCCATCGTTTAGCGTGCCCTTACACGCATGAACAAATGGGTTCTGTTGAACGTCGGCATCGTCAAATTGTTGAAATAGGCTTAGCTTTGCTAGCTCACTCAAATTTTCCCAAACCTTATTGGGAAGACGCCTTTTTAACTGCCACTTATATTATTAATCATCTTCCTTCCAATGCACTAAACAAAAAATCCCCTTTTGAAATGACTTATAATAAAAAACCCAACTATTTGTTTTTGCGTGTTTTTGGATGTGCTTGTTGGCCTAACTTGCGTGCTTAAAACAAACATAAAATTGATTTTTGATCTAAAACTTGTATTTTTCTTGGTTATAGTCCATCAAACCAGGGCTACAAATGTCTTGATTTGGCCACAGGAAAAATATATGTCTCATGCCATGTCATTTTTTATGAGTCTTTGTTTCCATACCAAAAAGAGTCCTCTACATCTAATCCTCCTGCCCCAGAAATTTTTTCCTTACCACCCTCCTTGTGTCATCTGAGTCCTCCAACTAACCATGTAGGTCCACACATATGTCCCAATGGCCAGTTGCCTCTTGACAACACCTGTGGAATTCACCATCGTTTAGCGTGCCCTTACACGCATGAACAAATGGGTTCTGTTGAACGTCGGCATCGTCAAATTGTTGAAATGGGCTTAGCTTTGCTAGCTCACTCAAATTTTCCCAAACCTTATTGGGAAGATGCCTTTTTAACTGCCACTTATATTATTAATCGTCTTCCTTCCAACGCACTAAACAAAGAATCCCCTTTTGAAATGACTTATAATAAAAAACCCAACTATTTGTTTTTGCATGTTTTTGGATGTGCTTGTTGGCCTAACTTGTGTGCTTAAAACAAACATAAAATTGATTTTTGATCTAAAACTTGTATTTTTCTTGGTTATAGTCCATCACACCAGGGCTACAAATGTCTTGATTTGGCCACAGGAAAAATATATGTCTCATGCCATGTCATTTTTTATGAGTCTTTGTTTCCATACCAAAAAGAGTCCTCTACATCTAATCCTCCTGCACCAGAAATTTTTTCCTTACCACCCTCCTTGTGTCACCTAAGTCCTCCAACTAACCATGTAGGTCCACACATATGTCCCAATGGCCAGCTGCCTCTTGACAACGTCAATCTCCAAAATCAAGTGCCTTTGGATATTCAGTCCACTTTGTTCTCCTCGAGTGTTGCTCACGTACCAGCAGGGGATCTCACTCAAACTTCAGAAGATGCTGTTGGACCATCTCACCAACCAAATCCTCCTCATTCACATGATATTCCAATGCCACGCCTCATACTTACCCGATCACAAACACAATCTCTCAAGCCAAAAGCTCTTTATGTTGGTGTAGCTCGATACCCACTCCCTCAATGTTTACTTACTATTCATGTCTCCTCTTTTGCAGAACCAACTTGTTATTCAGAGGCCTCAAAACATCAAAACTGGTGTGACGCCATGGACACCGAGTTTAATGCTCTTGTCAAAAATGACACTTGGGATCTTGTCCCACCTACGCAAAGTAATAATCTTGTTGGAAATAAATGGGTGTTCCGAATTAAAAGACATGCAGATGGCAGTGTTGAGCGCTTTAAAGCGCGACTGGTTGCGAAAGGTTATCATTAGCAACCCAGCGTGGACTTCACGGAAACCTTTAGCCCTGTGGTTAAGCCAAGGACTATAAGGTTGTTATTATCTTTAGCTATTACACGGCAATGGAGCATTCGATAGATTGATATCCAAAATGCATTTCTCCATGGCCTGCAAGAAGAAGTTTATATGCAATAACCTCAAGGGTATGTTCACCCTGATTTTCCTAATCATGTATGCCGCTTAAAAAAGAGCTTATACAGACTTAAACAGGCTCCCCGAGCTTGGTTTTCCAGACTGACCGAAACACTACAGCAAATGGGATTCTTTGGTTCAAAGGCAGATACCTCTCTATTCACACTTCATACCAATGACTTCTCTATTTTTATCCTCATATACGTTGATGATATAGTCATCACTGGGCCCTCTTCAGATGCGATTGCTAAATTTTTTCAGCAACTTGGAGATACTTTTCCCGTCAAAGATTTAGGCAATCTATCCTATTTTCTTGGTGTAGAGGCTTTGTTTGATGGTCCTGATCTTTTTTTGACACAACGAAAATATGTGGCCGACCTGCTACAACGGGTTAACATGCATGAAGCAAAGCCATGTTCCACTCCTATGAGTACCACTTGCAGTTTATCTAAGTTTGAAGGTCATGATTTTTCTGACCCTTAACTTTATCGAAGCATGGTTAGCGCCTTACATTACTTGGGTTTCACTCGTCCAGATATTGCTTTCGCAGTCCACCGTGTTAGCAAATTCATGCATCAACCCAAAGACACTCATTGGCAAGCCGTCAAGAGAATCCTTCGGTATCTAAAATCTACGGTGGGCTATGGACTTCGTTTACAAAGTACTTCAGATCATTCTCTTCAAGGGTATAGTGATGCCGATTGGGCTGGCGACAAAGATGACCGACGTAGTATTGGGGCCTACTGCATTTTTCATGGATCCAATCTTATCAGTTGGAGCTGCAAACAACAACAAACTGTTGCTCGTAGCAGCACTGAATCAGAATATAAATCTCTCTCCAACACAGCGGCAGAGCTACATTGGCTTCAATCCATACTTCATGATTTGCAGCTTCCCTTAGAGACCAGTCCAATATTATGGTGCGATAATATTGGAGTTACGTATTTGTCCTCTAATCCAGTCTTACATGCCAGAACCAAACATATTGAAATAGACTTTCACTATATTCGGGATCAAGTCTTAGCTAAAAAACTTCAGGTCTCATTTCTATCCACAAAAAATCAGCTTGCAGATTTATTAACTAAACCACTGTCATCCATTCGTTTTCATCTCCTGCAAACCAACCTTCATGTTCAAGATCTGCCCATTCGGTTGAGGGGGCGTACTGGAGGTAAAATTGAACCTGCTTCTAAGGACACAGCAACAGCCAAGGGAACAAGAGTGCCTAGTCAAAACAGAGAAGATTGCAACTGATATTTCGGAACAAGAATGCCCAGTCAAACAAAGAAGATTACAACTGATATTTCTGGCCAACAACTTTGTTACGTTTGTGATAGTGTTTTTAATTTTTGAATAGCTTATGTATAGGAGAAAGTTATGGAGAGTTTGTGTATAAATATTATACACTGTACACACTGAAATATATCTGAAAAACTCTCATCCAGTTAACATTTTACAATAACTAAGATTGAAATAATATACAAATGGCTAAAACAAATAACAAAAGAATTTATGTATATATATGTGTGTGTGTGTGTTGATGGTTTAATTTTTCTCTAAGAGGTGGAGCTGCATTCTGCAGGAAGGCCCTGGGGAAATCTCTTGGTGTCACTTCAGTAATTGTGTATCATGTAGTTTTTCTGTACCCATTTCAGTCTCCTTACTTGTTGTATCAAGCTCTTGAGAGGGATGAAGAAGAAGGTGAGTTTGAAGTACAAGAAAATGCACCATTAGACCAAACACAAGCATCAGCTTTAAAGTTTCTGTAGGAAGCAGTGAAAGGAGCTTGAGTCCAATCTGTCTTCACAAGTCCACCTCTAGTAGACCAGTCATCAGCATTCCAAAGAGAAGAGTATATTCTCATTGGTTGATTCTTTGGGAATGGAACACCAATTGACTCTGAGTTCTTGAACTCTCTTACGGGAGTGCCATCCACAGAGAAACTGAAATTACAAACAAAAAGAAAACAGCATCAATCATGTCCGTCACTGTCACCATCTTCCGGCATCTTTAACGGCGGAAATGTTACGAAGTCTCAGATCTCGTCGCCGACCCCGTCACACGTGTGCGCCGTTATCGCCGCGCTCCTCCTCCTCTCAGTCTCTCCCCTCCACACGCGTCTCTTTCAACCGTAACACCTCCTTGACCGCCCCAAGCCTCTGCTAAATGACGGTGCCTCCGATTCCGTGGGCTTCAGTTCCTCCATCGAGGACAAGATCGACGAACTGGACAATGTCGATGAAGGACAAGAAAACGACGCCGTGGATGTCGATACTCAAGATCAAGTTCACGACCAGCGAAAGGTTTCTTCATCTGGCTATTATTTCGACCACGCGACTGGATCAATCAAGAGTGCGTTTAATAAAAGATCAATTGATGAATGGGATTTTGATCAGTGGAAGGGCGAGAAAGAGAGATTCTGGGCAGAAGAGAGGGAAAACTTTCTGGTTTTTGGGCGGAAGAAATGGGTTTTGGGCGCATGAATTTTGGACGGAAGAAATGGGTTATTTTAATATTTTATAACCCTAAAGCAGCTTTGACTTAATGGCCTGAAGAATTTGGCTTGGTGAAAATTTTGAGGTGGGAAACTTTGAGATTATAACAGTTAAAGAACAAAATTTATACAATTTATTTATTATGAAATCTTTGATAGTTAATAATTGTCAAGAATTTTGTAAAACAGTCAAGAATTTATCAAAGATTAAATTTCTTAACCGATGTTTAGAACAATCAAGAAATTATGTCAAATTTTCTGTCAAGTAAAGTCTTTTTTTCTTGTAGTCATAGAAGCTTTGATTGAACTGATCATATAATGAAACTGAGTGAAGTCTTTAACTGTTAAGTGAGTTGATGAATGTGTTGAAAAAATTTGTTAAAGAAAAGTTGCATCTTTGTTTCAGGATAATAAATGGGTTAGACGCTACTTTTGCTTTATTTTAGCGGAGAAGGTGAAGGTGAAGTGGTTCTTCTTTCTCCGACATTTTACAACCACAGGTATTGCTAGGTCCACCTAGCCCACCCACCGTCAAAAAATCTAGCTTACGTGGAGAAAACGGTATTATAAAGCTGAAAGGATGATATTACTATATTAAACTGTATTAAAATATTATGTTTGGGGTTTTGTAGTTTATGTTTTATGAGATCCATAGGTTCTCGCAAGTTACAATAACACCTCTACGTTGCACGGTCGTTCTCAAATTAAAAGTGACTAACGAAGAATTTCCAATATATAGACTAATACACCCCTTAAAGATCACAAAGCGTGGCAAGATTATGCAGCAATGTCTGTCGGCCTCATTATTACATTAAACCATAATTGTGACTTTGCGATGAAATCAAACTATGATTATGATTAGATTGAGATGCTGCCATTGAATCTGGCTGCAACCAATAAGGAGTCACGTAGTCGTGATCAGATCTAGCTGTTATAGCTTGATTGACATGATGCCCTTTGAAAAGCCCATTTTATCCTTTGAATGTTTAGATTTCCCTAACATCTGTTAATCGTAGGTGTGTAAATGTCATGTTTAGAAACTTATGGGTTTCGCTTTGCTTTTACTAAACCTGAGAGATGCTATAAAGGAAGTCAACCTCTTAAAAAAGTAAGCCTGGAGAGTCAAATATTTGACAACCGACTAAGTATACCAGAAGCAAAAATATTTATCATTCATTATACAAGATTTAAGATTTAAGACTTCTTTTGGACAAGTGAACATAATTAGTACATAACTCTTTAACTCAAAACAGAATTACAATTTGCTTATATTACAAGAATTTAAGATTTGAAAGAATGAAAGAATTGGACTCTGCTAGTCACAATGACTAAAACAAACTATGAACAAAATTAATTTTATTTGGTTGATCTGCATTCCGCAGGGAGGCCCTGGGGAAATCTCTTTGTGTCGCTGCAATAATCGTATATCATGTAGTTCTTCTGAACCCACTTCAGTCTTTCTTGACTTGTTGAGTCAAGCTCTTGAGTAAGCCAGGCACCATTTCTGGATGAAGATGAAGGTGCTTTTGAATTGCAAGTAGATTTTCCCTTAGACCAAATACAAGCATCAGCTTTGAAGTTTCTGTAGGAAGCAGTGAAAGGAGCTTGAGTCCAATCAGTCTTCACAAGTCCACCTCTAGTAGCCCAGTCATCAGCATTCCAGAGTGAAGAATATATTTTCATTGGCTGATTTTTTGGGAATGGAACACCCATTGACTCTGAGTTATTGAACTCTCTTATAGGAGTGCCATCGACAAAGAAGCTGAAATCACAAACAAAAAGATTAAGAAAAACAAATAAAAATATATTAAATTTTAAGTTGGAGTGAAGAAATTAAATAGAATACTCACACAATGCGCTGTGGATTCCAGAGAATGGAATACGTGTGAAAATCAGCAGTCGGGTCGAACCAGAGATAGAATTGTTGCTCTCTGTTACCCTTTCCTTGACTGAACACATTAGTGTGAAGAATGTAAGGATCACCACTCAAATTTCCCAAGAACTCGAAGTCTATCTCATCCCATGTAGACCCTTTTGAGGACAACTGCAAATTTAAGATAACATTTAGTAACATAAACTTAGATATATAGAAACAAGAGAAAATTTTTATACGGTTTAGGAACTTACATAATAAGCAGTGACAGTGCCAGCAGAGTTTCCAGCGACAAGCTTGACCTGCATATCAATCTTGCCAAATAGATACTCATTCTTGGACTGGAAGCCGGAGCCAGAGGCTTTGTCAAGAGACAAAGTAAGAAGGTTCCCATTGTTGATCATCTTACCACGGCCATCTCCCCAAGTAATATCAAAATTTTCGTTCAAGCTACCGGCAGAAGCAACCATTAAAGAACCGAGCAGAATAATGAAATGCAACATTGAAGCCATAGAAGCTTTGATTAAAACTGAGTGAAGTTTGAAAGTGAAGGGATGCATGTGTTAAGAATTATGGATTGTATTTATAGTAAAACAACTAGGCTTTGGAAATGGAGAAAAGGAAGATTATTGGAAGCTTCAATCAACTAAGCTGTTGACAGTTGTAAGTTTGAAAATAATTGTAAAAAAAAAAAAAAAATTGTTGTGAGTACGTATGTTTTATGAGGATAAGAGAGAGTACAACGCCACTTCGCTTTTATTATGGGAAGAAGGTGAAGAGATATTTCGCGGGTTCGCTTCATCACAAGCTTTCCCAGATATGTTACAGCCAATACTTGCGGTTCAACTAACCCACTTGAACTGTCAAATCATCTAATGTCATTATGTCACTCCACCAGCTCCACCTTCACCACTCACCCTCCAAATATCTGTCTCACGCGGTGAAAATAATATTCTATTGCCAATAATAATAGTAATACGGCACGTGTTTTATTTTATTTTTCGATCTATCCATTAATTTTAAATTAATTGTGTATTTTATAAGATTGATATGTCAGATGACGGGATATATTTGTTATATTTAAGACTTTTTTTTGTTTAATGTAGACCTTTTTGTATTATGTCCTCTCTCTAAGTGAGGGAGGGCATAATTTGTATTAATTACAAACAAAAAAAAAAAAAAAAAAAAAATTAGAATCTGAGGAGCATTAAAAAAAAAATAGAAATGAGGATATTTAGGGTACGTTTGGCTTAGTGTTTTTATCCATATTCACAATCATATTCTTCAAATGTTGTTTGGCATGTAATTCCCATAATATTAGTCTATTTTTTAATTACTTTTTGACCTCACAAGTTTATTAATTTCATAAATACCCCCCAGAAAAAAGTTTAAAAACTAACAAAAACACCCCCATCTACCAATACTTGTCAGATTTCGGCAATCATCGCCGGTGGTAGCCGAAATCTGTCACAACAGTCACACGACCATCGGAAATGGCCAGTAGTGGCCAGATTTGGCCTTTTCCGACCAGATCCGTGGCGGATCTGGCCGGAAAAGGCCAAATCTGGCCATTACTGGCCATTTCCGATGATCGGTGGATCTGGCCGAAAAATGCCAGATCTGGCTGTCAACGAGGCCAAATCTTGGCCATCGTTGATAGACAATGATGGCCAAAGATGGCCTTTTCTGGCCGTCGAAGGCCACATCCAACCTTAGATCTGGCCTTTTTCCTGCCAGATCCGTGGTGGATATGGCCGAAAAATGTCATATCGATCGAATACCCGCTAGATCCGACCGATATGTGTGTTTATCCAATTTTCCAACTAGATTCCGATGGTGGTGGCCGGAATCTGGCATTGTAGGTGGTAGGGGTGTTTTTGTCATTTTAAAATATTTTAATATATTAGGGTGTTTATTAAATTAGCAAACCTTAGGGGCTTTTTCATAAATTTTTAAATTTTATCTCATAATACTCCCCTATCCAACTATCCAATGCTATCCCCAAAATCCTACCCAAAATAATAAGTCAAACGCACCCTAAAATTTTTATGCTACAGGTAGTATAAGAAACAATTATATTGCAATATAAGATTACTTAATTATATTTGAAATCTCCTTTTTTTTTTTTTTTTTTTTATAACTAGGTGTCTGGGCTAGTTTGTATGCACCTCAACTAATCTCCGGGGTTCATTAAACACCCTTTAAGCTTAAAGGACCAGATAAGCAAACCCCAAGGTTTGAACCCAAGAACTCAAAGAAGATAGTAAACCTCATTGACTGCCTTACCAACCCCTTAGGCGACATTTCGTTGGAGGTAATGAAAGATTACTAGGATTATGTCATCCTATATTACTTGATTACTATGTTTGGTTGTCAAGTAATATAAGATTCTGGTAATCTTGCATTACCGATAATTGTTACTGTTGGTAATATTAGAGGTAATCTAATTACTTTTATTTTCTTAGATATTGTAAAATTACTTGGTAATCTTATTTTTGTTACAATTCTATCCCTTATTAATAAAAAATTTGGACAATAATGCCCATGTTTTAAAATAAATTTACATTAATATACCATTTCAATTTTACCTTTGTTTAATTAAGTTTTTGAACAATAATGTCCTTATATTTAAAACAAATTAGACACCACCACCGCCGACATCGGGCCAACCACCAAGGATCGCCGCCAGAAGGTCACCGAAGTCCCTAAAAATGATCGAGATTCGTTGGGAGGCTCCGGGAGGCTTCAATATAGCCGTTTTTGGCCATATCAGGCGAGATCTAACCATTAATGGCCAGATCTAGCCTAAATCTAACCGCTAATGGCTAGGGATCTTGCCATTTTCGACCAGATCTGGCTTGATATGGCCGTTTTCTGCCATCAATATGGCCAGAAACGGCCATATCAGAGCCTCGTGGTCACGGTGAGCTACTCACGACGACTTTCAGAGACTTCCTACAATGGTTTGCGGTGGCGGCAGGGGTGGGGTGATTTTGTCATAAATTAAAGTTTCATATAAGTGGGGTGTTTTAGCTAAATCTGAAATATTGGGGGTTAAAAAAATTATTTAAAAATTAATAATAAAAATAATATTATATTAATATTTAAAAAGGAGGGCAATTTAGTAATTTAAATAACATACCCACCAATTTATTCCCCCTAACCAAACATATTAATATAATATATCCACCAACTAACCAAACACATTTTCTTAAAGATTCCCAATAATCTTCAAGGGGTGTTTGGTTCAGGGAATGTTGAATTACTAGAAATGTTGGATTATTAGAAAGTTAGATTACATTGAAGATTACTGGGAATCTTTAGGAAAATGTGTTTAGTTAATTAGTGGCTATGTTATATTAATATGTTTGGTTGGGAGGAATAAATTGGTGGGTATGTTATTTAAATTACTGAATTGTCCTCTAATTAAATATTATTATTATTATATTAATTTTTAATATTAATTTTTCATTAGGTAATATAAAATTTCAATAATCCAATATTTCCTGAACCAAACACACCCTTAGGGTTATCTCCTTTTTTCTTTCCAACTGATTTTTCATTAGGGAAGTGATCATNGAGTTTGTTTTAGAGTTGGTCAGTTGGGTGGCGTACTGGCGTTAATAGGTTAGGCAGGGACTTAGGGTTTTTTTTTTCAAAAAAGGGGTACCCGCGGGTTTACCCGTGTAACCCGTCAAAAAAGGGGTTGGGCCGGGTACGGGTAACTTAAACGGGTTCAACATATTAAACCCATGCCCTATATATTTTACCCGGGTACGGACCGACCCGCGGGTCTAAACCCATTTTGCCAGGTCTACCCTCACCCCCCCCCCCCCCCCCCCCCCCCCCCCACAAAAAAAAAAAAAAAAAAAAACCTAATCTGGAACTTGTTAACAAAAATAAAATTACAAGTTATAAATTCAAAATTACAAACTCCATTACTTTGTAAAGATAGATTGTCAAAAGCCAAACCAACTTACTTTAAATATTATGAAATATAAATATAAATGTATTCACATTACTTTTTCTATAAAAGGTTTTATTAACCCCCTACTCTTTAATTTTGTTTTATATTAGTCTCGGTTTCTAGTTTTGGTTCCTAACTATAAAAACTAGAACCGAAAACACACAATAACGGTTCCAAAAATTTGGAATCGGAACCTACCAGTTGATGACTGGTTCTGGGTAGGAATTGAAACCAAACTCTAGATACCCGTCGGTTTCGGTTCCAATCGATTCTTTTGAATACCCCTAGTGCATTAACACTTTTTTTGGCAAAAGACTAACTCATGTTAGCAAAAAAGAGCTCACGTTAGCAACATCTAAGCCAAGGGTTTTTTATTTTTTTAGACAAATTCCGAAATCCAAAATCATTTCTGAGACTACCGTTGGATTCTCCACAACCTTCCTTACAAAACCTATACTTTCACTTGTTAATTTTACTTACCCTTTTCTATTATCTCTAACAATCATTAATGGTGTTAGTTTAAAGATGAAATCAAAATAAAGACGATCAAGGATACCAACTTATAATTTCGCTAAACCTAGTTGGGAATACGTCGTTTATCCATTTTTATTTTTTTAATCGCCTTACTCTTTTTGGTTTTTCTGTGGCGGTGGTGGCCGGTGGGTAACGTACTTACGTTAAATCCAAAAGATTCCTATCGATGTGTCAAATCTTGAAGCATTGTAAATATTGAATTTGTCGTATAAATTTCTTATTCGAAGAATTCTGCTATGAAATCTTTAGAATCCATTAATTTCTAGCAATCAGTTTTCAGGTGAAATCTCATCTAATACAGAGATCCACTAACAGAGATCAGTTTTCTAGCATTATATTTTAAAAGGTATTTTGTAATAATAATAATAATACAGAGATCCACTAACAGTTGGTTGGCCCAAGGAAGCCCAGTAAAGATTCCATCCATGGGCATAAATAATTAGAAATAAGGTCATTAAAAATTAACTGTTGGATTACAATGAGAAATTACCAACCGTGTGATAACTAAGATGGCAAAGAATGAAAGAATCTGAATCTAGCAATAGCAGAACGAATTAATAACTACAATAAACAATAAAAGAATTGATGTATATTTCGGTTTCACAAATTTAACTAGTCTCTAAGAGGTGGAGCTGCTTCTGTAGGGAGGCCCTGGGGAAATCTCTTGTGTCACTGCAATAATTGTATATCATGTAGTTTTTTCTGAACCCATTTCAATCTCTCTTGACTGTGGTGTCAAGTTCTTGATTGAACCAGGCACCATTGCTGGAGTAGAAGGAGAGTTGAAGAGCAAGAGATGACCATAGAACAAACACAAGCATCTGCTTTAAAGTTTCTGTAGGAAGCAGTGAAAGGAGCTTGAGTCCAATCTGTCTTCACAAGTCACCTCTGGTAGCCCAGTCATCAGCATTCCAGAGAGAAGAGTATATTCTCATTGGCTTCTTGGGAATGGAACACCACTTGACTCTGAGTTCTTGAACTCTCTTATGGGAGTACCATCCACAGAGAAGCTGAAATTAGAAACAAAGATTGGTGAGTTAAACAGAT